AGCAAACTAGTAATTTTGGCTACAAATCAATAGGCACAGTGCTCTGGTGCCTCTACCTGAATCACTACTCCACATGGCTCCCCTCTCCACTTCCTTTTCTTTTCTTTTTTTCTTTTTGAGAGGTCTTTGCTATAGGGCTTGTGTGCTCATCAGAAAGACAGAGAGAGAGAGAGACAGAAAGCAAGAAATCAACCCCCAGGGGGTGGACATGCCGCAATCCCTTCTCCTCCATTCTCCTCTTGGGATCTTGGGCACGTATGCACATGCACCCAGCATGAATTTAAGCCTCTGCATCTGGGACTTGAACCGCGGTGGACTACATGGGAGTCCAGCAACATACCCATTACCCAACTGCTGCCCACCCCCAACTTCCTTTAGAAGCATGCCAATGTCACTCTGAGAGGCCTTGTCTCATTAAATGAAATGGTAACTCTTTTCCCTCTGTCCCAGGGCACCCTGTCCCCTTCCCTGCTTAGTTTTTACCAATGCACATATCTCCACTTGACGTATTATTCTTTGTTTCTCAGTGTCAACCCACCATGGGCTTCACTGGGGCACAACAGGGACTATCACTTTGTTCTCTGTTGTATCTCCAATACCTAATAGGCGCTCAACAAATTAATATTTGGAGAATAAATGTTTAATAAAGATTGTCTGTTATCCTATATTGCTAAGAACATTGTTTTGGGGGGAGCAGCAATTGGTATAATAACTATGTCGCTGGACTCCCACATCGTCGACCGCAGTTTGAGTCCCGGACCCGGTGGCTTAAACTCACACCCAGCAAGTGCACATGTGTGCCCAAGATCCCAAGAGGAGAATGGAGAAGGGATTGCAGTGTGGCCATCCCCACAGGGGGGTGATTTCTAGCTTTCTGTCTTTCTGTCCCTCACTGTCTTTCTAGAGAGCACACGTGCCCTATGGCAAAAACCTTTCCCTCCCCCACAAAAAAACATTGTTTTATTCTTTTTAGAGTTTTTATTCCCTTCAACCTCTCTATAGCTTCCAAAAAGAGCATCTACCTTTTTTAAATGCCCCCTTTCTAGTATATCTGTGTCACTACAGAAGAGTTTGCAAACTCATTTTTTTTTTTTGAGAGAAAAACTTCTGCTATATGGTACATGCGACCGACTGCTAGAGAGACAGAGAAAACCAGAAACAGAAAGCAAGAATTCACCCTTCTGGGACAATGGCTATGTTGTAATCCCTCCAACTCTATTCTCCTCTCAGGATTTTGGGCACACACACACATGCACCCAGTGTGAATTTCAAGCCACAGGGTCCGAGAGTCAACAGAAGCTGACCATCTGGGAGTCCAACACCTTAACCACTATGCCACCTACTGGCCCACAAACTCACATTTAACCCACAGTATATTTTGATTAACTCACAGAATTCACTTACATTTTTTTTAAACATTTATTTAATTTTATTCATTCATTGATTTATTTTAATTTGACCAGAGAGAAACACAAAGAGGGAGAGACAGGCAAAGTGAGAAAGCAAGCCACCAGGTCCAGGACTATAATATTGGTAGACCATATGGGACTGGTCTTAACCACAAGCCACCTCTGCTGGTCCCACACTTAAATTTTTTAAGTTAGATGCCAACATTTTTGTTTTGGAGGGTTTTTGCTATAGGGGACATGCGCTTGCCAGAAAGAGAGAGACAGAAAGCAAGAAATCACCCCTTAAGGGAGATGGTCACGCCGCAATACCTTCTCTTCCATTCTCCTCTTGGGATCTTGGGCTCACATGCACACGTGCCCGGCATGAGTTTAAGCCACCAGGTCTGGAACTTGAACTGCGGCTGACTATATGGGAGTCCAGCAACAGAGCCATTACACCAACTGCTGGTCCCAGCTGTCAACATTTTTAAATGGATAGAAGGGGTCAGCAGATGGCACAATGGTTAAAGCCCCAGACTCCCACATGGCCAACTGGGGTTCAAATTATAGACCTGGTAGCTGAAATAGCTTGAAATTCACACCAGGCACCTGTGCATGTATGAGGGATGATTTCTCACTTTCCCTCTCACTCTCTATCTCTCTCTCTCTGGCAAATGATGTGCCCTATGGTAAAAACCTTAGAAAAGTAAAATAAATTGTTAAAAAAAAAAAAAAAAGATGGGCCCTGGCAGGGGGGAGGGGGGTTAATGGTGGTTAAGGGCACTGAACTCCCACACAACTGATCACAGTTCAAGTCCCAGACCTGGTGGCTTGCTTTCTCTCTCTCTCTCTGTCCTCTGGTCAAACTAAAATAAGTACATAAATAAAGTTAAATAAAAATAATTCATTTTTTAAAAAAAGATTAAAAATAAATAAGTAAATACAATGGGTAGGAGCCAGCCAGTGGTATAGTGGTTAAGGCTGCTGGATCACACATGGCCAACAGTTTGAATCCCAGACCTGGCAGCTTGAAAAACATACCAGAATTGCAGCATAGCCGTCAACCCTAAAGGGATGCTTTCTCACTTTCCCTCTCTCATTCACTCTCCATCTGCATCTCTCCAGCCAGTGCATGCACCTTATAGCAAAAATTAAAATAAACAGAAATAAAATGCGTAAATTAGCATACAATTTTTTTTTTTTTTTTTTCTTGAAAACTCTGCCATCTGGCCTCATGGAGGTAATATCTTAGCAAGGCTACAATCAGCTGGAGCTGAACAAGAGCTGCCCGTTGTTTCAGAAGTCCCCACTTAGTTCATTTCCCTTATCTACATCTCTTGGCTAATTTTTGTAGGTATATGAATTGGAGACCACTCACTTAAGTTCCCTCCTTTCCATTTCCACTATCATCAGTCTTGTTACTACAGAGTCCGTTTACCTCTTGCCTAAAACTATTTTGACAATCTAATAACCTCATCCCCATTTTTTTTTTTTGAGTGGTTTTTGTTATAGGGCACATGCACTCGCCAGAAAGACAGAGACAGAAAGTGAGAAATCATCCCCCAGGGGGGCTTCATCCCCATTTCATCCCCCAACTTCTGGTCACCTCTCTGCTCAAAAACTTTCACTGGGGACCAGCAGTTGGCGTAATGGCTATGTCGCTGAACTCCCACGTAATTGACCACGGTTCGAGTCCCGGACCCGAAGGCCTAAACTTACGCTGGGCGCATGTGTGTGCATGCGCAAGATCCTGAGAGGAGAATGGAGGAGAAGGGATTGCCACGTGGCCATCCCCCCTGGGGAGTGATTTCTTGCTTTCTATGTCTCCGTCTCTCTCTGTCTTTCTGGCAAGTGCATGTGCCCTATAGCAAAAAACTCTCAAAAAAATTTTTTTACTGCCTTCTCTTTCTTGAGAGATTTTTGTGATAGGCTACATGTGCTTGCTGGAGAGACAAAAGGCAAGAAATCACCCCCTCGTGCAGATGGCCAGGTCGCAATCCCTTCTTCTCCTTTCTCTCAGGATTTTGGGCACATACTCACATGTGCTCAGCGTGAGTTTTAAGCCACAAGGTCCAGGACTCAAACCATGGTCAACTATCTGGGAGTCCAGGGATGTAACCATCACACCATCTGCTGATGGCATTCACTGAAGTCTTTTTAACTATCTATAAATTGAATGATTTAGCTCTGTACTCCAGCCCCTCCTCACCTTCCCCAGGTAATCTTCCTGTTTTATATTCTATGACTCCCCTACAGTCCATCTGTCATGAATTATATCCACACTATCCTTTTCTAGCACCAAGCCTATGCTCAAATGTTTTCTTTCACTGGAATTCCCTCCCTTGGTCTGTTTATCTACCTTTCCAATTCCAGATACTCCACATAAAATTTCCTTAGTTCCCATTCCCACAACCACCCAAGCCTGTCTGACTACTCTAAACCTTCTTGGTTTTCCCTAGATACTCTGTTCCATTTTCCATATACTTTGTTACAACTTTCCAGCCATGTACTAAGGCTATTGGATACATGTCTTAATTCCACCCCACCCCCACCATGTTGTATCAGGAACAGAACAAGTACCTAAGAATGTGGAATAAATGACTCACAGTAACTGTTTAAACTGGAATTCTCTTAGTACTTATGTACAACATCCCTCATTATATTATCTTGGGCATGCATGTGAACATTGCCCCCCAAAAAGTGAAAACTGGTTCCTAAGGGGCAGGACATCTCAGATATTGAAAAGGCTCTGGCTCTCCAAAGGACACAGCACATATGTAGAAATGTACTAAAATTTTTTAGGCAGGTTAGAGGAAAAAGAATGTCCTTTTTAGGTTGGGCAGGGTGACAATGAAAAAGATTAGTAAACAGTGCTCAAGGATCATTCCACTTGTGTCCTGTGTACCTGCTTGCTCCCCATCTATCCTGAGAAAAGAACTATATGATATAAAAGCAGTAAAACAGAGTGGTTAGAATGCAAACTTTGGAATCAGGCTGCCTGGATTTGCATCATGCCTGGGATGTTTCTTACCTGAATAACACTCAGCAAGTTACCTAACCTCCTTAAGCCTCAGGTTCTTCATTTATAACCTTAACACCTCTTTCCTAGAGTTGCTGGAGTAAAAGATAAGGTCACAATAAGAGCTTATCACTATTCAGAAAGTCTGCTTGTATCCCTGAGGTTTACTACAAAGGACTGCTGAACTAAAGCTGGTTGGTCTCAGTAATAACAGCTGATGGCTGATTGCAACCACCCACCGTGACAATCACACAGGATCTTGCAAGTAGCTCTGAGGGAGCTCTTTGCACCTTAGGTCTATAAATTGGGGGTTGTCATTGTAACCCACCTTTTGAGATTTTGGACGATTAAAGTAATCAGTCCATACAGTGTGCTTAAAACAATGCTCCCTAAATGTTAGCTAATGCCAGCTCTACCACAGGCCAAGTTCCAGATGAAATCCAGACAGACAGCAGGACATACGTGGCCTATCAGGAAAATAAGACTCTATTTTAAGAATTAAATGAAACACTCACGACCTGGCTTAATTTCCCGAAATATCAACAGCTCCATGCAAGGGACCTCCCGCCAGAGCTCAGCCCGGGTCCCAGTACCTGAGTCGCCCCCAGCGCCGAGACCCTGGACACCAGGCCCAGAACGCGGGCTGGGCGGCTGGTTCGGAACCGAGACGACGTCGGTCGAGGGTTCAGAAGGTTCGGGATCCATGGTGGGGAATCTTGCCAACGGGTTTAGGGTGTGCGGGAGTAAAGGAGCTTCAGGGGAAAGTGTGCGGGTAAGTGAGAGTGACGGTGATAAATGTGGGACCGGATCTGCGCGAAGCGGTGGCCTCAATACTGCAGTCACGCAGCCACCAAGAGCTACCAAGCAGCAGCGTTATCTGCGGGGCTGCGCATTCCCCTAAGGAGCATGCGCGCCCTTTTCGCGCCGCAAGTTGAGCGAACTGCAGCTCTACGCCCGCCTTCCCTGTAACTCTACCCACAATTCCCGGGGTTCATGCAATCTCCTTTTGCGCGTGCGCTGGCTGTAGTCCCGCCCCCAAGTCCCGTGGGTCTCTGCGAGATAGTATATAAGTGTCTCCGAGCGTTGCTTCGGTCTCTTGTTTTTTTTCCTGCTTTTGGTAAGCGTGGTGAGGAGTTCTTTCTTGGGGGAGGAGGGGATTCTTTTTCTATTTAAGTAAGCGAGCTTGCCCGGCGCTTCCTGTTGGCTAGGGCATTTATTGGTGGCGTCTGAGAGTTAACAGGTTTCGTTGGTGGCCTCGAGCCCTCCAAATAGCGCTGGGGTTTTGGGAAGGACAAAATGGCGTGGGTCATGCCGGCTGCCCTCCCAGTGATGAGGACCTTTCACAGACCTGTACTGAGCTCCGTGAGGATGAGGAACTCTGAGGATTCGGCGCTGCACTGCCGTCGGTCTAGGAAACATGTCGGAATATCCGGTGCTAACCGAATGTCTTGTCTGCAGGGCTCAGGCGCACGTTTAAACACGAAGACTCAAACAGCACGCTCAGAGTAAGTGATTGTGGCCATTTTTTTCCTCTTTTTTTTTTTTTTTTTGATAGTATGGGATGTGCTGCGGGGATGATTTTAAAAATTGAACTCTCTCTTTCTGATGAGTTAGTGGAGAAAACACAAAAAAGTTCTGAGTAGCACCATCTGCAGCAAACATATGCAGGCTTATTGGTTTTTCGGTTCTGAGGCATTAGTCAAAGTTGCTCTTCTTTTCAGATGGGGCTCAGTGCAGAGGACCTTAGTGGTTGGCAAATGAGACAGGATCCGTTGTTTGAAATCCTCAATACAGGGATGCTCCAGGTAGGTATCCGTACTTTATGGCACTAGTGGAGAAGGGGACATTTTAGGGAGCCACTCTATGATGAATATAAAAGGACAAGCATATGACTGAACTTTGAAGTGATGTCAGCTCACTGCTGAGAAGTGGGCCAGGGTTACCCTAAGGTCCTCAAATGGCCATTTTAGGTACTTATAATGCCTTTGTATTCTGTCTCCAGCATCACAAAACCTGTCCTGAGGAATTCAAACGTCTTCCAGGCTGAATACAGGTAACTATCAGAATGGTACACTCCCTTTTGGAGAGTTTTCCACAACCAGGAAAGCACATGGGATGGCATGGTGGTTTTTTGCTCCCTCCAGAAATGTTTCTGGGAATTAAAAGAGCAATCCCATTTTAATAAGTTTCTGGGAATTAAAAGAGCAATCCCATTTTGTGATTGTGCTCTCCCTTATCTGTATGTTGTGTCACTGTCAGATGATTTGAATCAGTAAGCTGATGCTCTGTGAGGTACGACAGTTGATAGCATGTTAGAGTTCTGATGGCAGTTGTATTTAGGGAGTAAATTTTGTTCCATCCTAATAACTTGGGAGTAAATTATTTGCTTCCCTTTCTCAGGTTGCCCTGGTGATGCTGTTTCTTTTACCTTGTGGTAAGTTGCTCGTGTTTTACAGTAACTGATATAAGTAAGCCCACTGTTCAAAGGAGGCTTTGCTATTGTGATATTTGTCACCAAAGACTTGATTAAGCCAGAAAGCATTCTGCATCCCTATAGTGACATTTCTTGACCCTCCCTTGTTTCTCCTAGGTGCCCACTGGTGCCCAGAGCAAGCTTGTGGAAAGCAGTAAGTACTTGCTGCTTTGAGCATGACTGCAATCTCTTCCTCCTCTCATGATTCTGGGCCAGTATACCTTCCTGTTTTTCAAGCCATGGGGGCTGGGATGGGGACCTCACTGGGAGGCCTGTGAGAGCTGGCTCACCTTAAACACTGGACTACAAGGCCTAGCATACTTCGTTGTTTTGGATGCTTCACTAATTATACAATTTTCTGACTCAGGAACTGCTTTTTTTTGGGTGTGCCACTGAAAAGCCTCCAGAGTTAAGAGGTTGGTTGATTTTTGTTCTTAAGGCTTATGCCACAAGTAGGCAGTTTCTATGATGAATAGAACTAGCTCACTATGACTGAAGATGAAAATACGTGAACACCTGAGAAACTGGGGAAAATGAGGGAGGGATAACACATTTAAGTAACCTTTCATTCATAAACTGTGTCTTTCCGTAGGTGCTGTCACCAGTAATCTGCTTTTTGGTCTAAAGGTGAGTGATTTCAGTATGTTCAGTGCCTACAATGTTGAGGGGGAAAGTTGCTTGTTTGTAACTATACATGATGACTTCCATGGAATCTCGTTCGGCTGATTACTTGCTGCTGAGACTAGGAAATCTGATTTTCTGGGAATTAGGTAGGAACAACTTTGTATCAGACACAAGTGTTACTGATTTATTTGGTTCTTGTCTGTTTCAGGTCGTGCGCTTTGTCTGGCCTCTTCAGAGTAATTTGAGGTAATAATCTCTCTAACACTGAGTATCTGACTGCTGTGCAGTATCTGCTATGACTGGTTGGTGGCAGTGTAAAGATGTTGCTGTCTTTAGCCATTTCCAAGTCACCACCTAGGAGTTGCTGCTCACCAGTGATGAGTTGATACCGCCCCAGTCTGATCACTGTGACTGATAGGTATTTTCTGAGCTGTGAGCTCTCTAATGACAGGCTCTAACAGTGGGAAGTATGATAGGACTAGCTAGTGGTCTTCATAAAATGTGTTTAGAGTAAAGTGCATGGGCCTCGCCTTTCCTCCAAGCAACAGAAATAATTGAGATGATCTCTTTTGCAGGTCACCCAAGCAATGTTTCTCTTCAACTCAAGGCTGAAATCATAGGTGAGAATAAATACAAGATGAGCTATGCTAAAATTTCCCAATGAGGAAACATTCACAAGTCTTACTTCCTGTCCTAGTCCCAGAGCCTGTAAAGGTGAACCCACTGGGGCTGGCTGGGGGAGAAGAGGAGAGTTTGTTCCAGAAGGAACTGTCTGAGGGATGATAAAAATTTCTGTACATGTGAAAGAAATCACTTCACTTACTAAAGCATTAAAAATTGTTTTGTTTTTAAGGTCTGAGGGAAGAACAAGATGCATATAAACGGTAGGTAAATGTCCCAATAGGTGACGTGGTTAAGGTGCTGAACTCCCACATGGCCAGTCATGGGTCAAGTCCTGGACCCAGTAGCTTAAAATCAAATGTGTGTGTGGCCATTTCACTTTTCCTTTTGTCTCTAGTGAACACACATGCTGTAACAAAAAACTTCTAACAAAAAAAAGATTAACCATTTACTGTTTAGTATTTAACACAATACTAATAATACATGGAAAAGTGCCTAGAAGCGGGCCTTTTACTGCTAATTGGCTTAAAAGGGCTTCCTTTTACTGCTAATTGGCTTAAAAGGGCTTCCCTGCTTGTAAATTAGATCTGTTTTCTTCTCAAATAAGAAAACTCAAGGCTGCTTTTCTTCTACAGGATTCCAAAATGTGGTCAATGACAACAGTTTCAAGTCCTTCTACAACCTAACCACTTGAGTCTAGCATCTTGCCATTTAATTGTGAACTCCCTGCCATTGCTGATCAGGCTCTTCATAACATTTGCACAGTTTTTCACTGCAGCAACCTGTTCAGTTTGTATTGACAAATAAAATCTTTAAGAAATCTTTTTTCTGAGTGGTTCTAAATTCCACAGAAAACAGACTTTGCTATCCTCCTGAATAGTTGTCTGAGACATGTGGTGTGTGGTTGCCTGTTAATGCAATTGGAGTAAATACCCAGCGTGAGCTTTCAGAGATGACTAGAACGCTAAACAGGGTCTTTATGACATCAAAATGCTTATTTCAGAACTGTGGTGGGGGAGAAGGGTAAAGGCTTCCATATCTGTTGCAAATTGAAGAATCCAGGTTCAAAGACACCTAGGTTAAGTACTTAGGAGCACTGGACTTACATGGCTATAAAGGCAGTTCAAGTTTTGGACCCAACAGCTTGCTTTCACTTTTCCTCTCTGGTCAGATTAAATAGCATTAAAATCTTTCAAAATTTCTAGGGGGGCCAACAAGGTGACAGGACATTACTCCCACATGGGGAACTATAGTTCAAGTCTGACCTGGCAGCTTGAAATCAGGCTCTGTATGTGTGCCCAAAGGCCTCACAATGAAAGGGATTGTGTGGGGACTCCCCTTTTAGGGGTGATCTCATTTTGCTTCTCAGGTAACATGCAAGCCCTGTTGCAAAAAACCTTAAGACTACTTAGGCTAGCAAGTTGGCATGGTTAAGGGCACTAGACTCACATGGCCAGCCTTGATTCACATCCTGTACCTAGTGGCTGGCGTGAACTTCCTGTCCTAGTCCCAGAGCCTGTAAAGGTGAACCCACTGGGGCTGGCTGGGGGAGAAGAGGAGAGTTTGTTCCAGAAGGAACTGTCTGAGGGATGATAAAAATTTCTGTACATGTGAAAGAAATCACTTCACTTACTAAAGCATTAAAAATTGTTTTGTTTTTAAGGTCTGAGGGAAGAACAAGATGCATATAAACGGTAGGTAAATGTCCCAATAGGTGACGTGGTTAAGGTGCTGAACTCCCACATGGCCAGTCATGGGTCAAGTCCTGGACCCAGTAGCTTAAAATCAAATGTGTGTGTGGCCATTTCACTTTTCCTTTTGTCTCTAGTGAACACACATGCTGTAACAAAAAACTTCTAACAAAAAAAAGATTAACCATTTACTGTTTAGTATTTAACACAATACTAATAATACATGGAAAAGTGCCTAGAAGCGGGCCTTTTACTGCTAATTGGCTTAAAAGGGCTTCCTTTTACTGCTAATTGGCTTAAAAGGGCTTCCCTGCTTGTAAATTAGATCTGTTTTCTTCTCAAATAAGAAAACTCAAGGCTGCTTTTCTTCTACAGGATTCCAAAATGTGGTCAATGACAACAGTTTCAAGTCCTTCTACAACCTAACCACTTGAGTCTAGCATCTTGCCATTTAATTGTGAACTCCCTGCCATTGCTGATCAGGCTCTTCATAACATTTGCAGTTTTTCACTGCAGCAACCTGTTCAGTTTATATTGACAAATAAAATCTTTAAGAAATCTTTTTAAAAAAAAAGTAAAATGACTAACAAATTAATGAAAAACTTTAAAATGGGTTTAGGGTACCTAAGTGTTTTGTTGTGGATTCACTTGTGTAGCCTATGGCATCACTGTTATGTATTTTGTTAGAACATTAGTTACCATGGGGCAAGAGTGTCCTAGGTCAGTTTTGGCCTAGTCCTATTGTATGTAAAAAGGTTATTTATATTAAATGTGTCTTGAAGGGCCTTCCAAATGTCATGAAGAACTTCAGCACACCTTCCATTGTGACTGCAGGGATGAAGCGTTGTAATTAACAGTAGGTGGTCAGGGTAAAGGGGAGCGGTCGGGGAACTTTTGGAAAATCTTACTACAAAGATGTATGAGAGAACTATGTAATTATTTTATAGTAGTATATCAGGACGCCAGAGGGGAGTCACTTCCCAGCAAGGCTACTGCAGTTTCCGGAGCATACAGCAAGCGGCCTTGCCAACATGCTGCATCAACCCTCAGATTAAATAGCATTAAAATCTTTCAAAATTTCTAGGGGGGCCAACAAGGTGACAGGACATTACTCCCACATGGGGAACTATAGTTCAAGTCTGACCTGGCAGCTTGAAATCAGGCTCTGTATGTGTGCCCAAAGGCCTCACAATGAAAGGGATTGTGCGGGGACTCCCCCTTTAGGGGTGATCTCATTTGCTTCTCAGGTAATATGCAAGCCCTGTTGAAAAAAACCTTAAGACTACTTAGGCTAGCAAGTTGGCATGGTTAAGGGCACTAGACTCATGACCAGCCTTGGTTCACATCCTGTACCTAGTGGCTGGCTTGCTTCTTGCTCTTGTGTTCTGCTCAGATTTTTAAATGACATTAAAATAATCCTAAAAATAAAAGCCTAATGTTTAAGAGATCCAGACTCCACGTGGCAGATTAATTTCAACCTTGTGTAAAAACTTGAAATGTGTGCTTGAGTGCCTGAGATCTTGGGATGGAGAGAATTGTCCTTGGGAGTATTTTCTTTAGCACGTGAGCACCCTCTGGAAATAGACTAACCAGACTCCCACATGACAGTCCAGATCTGGTAGCTTTCTCACTTTGTTAGGTGAGTGCATGTGCCTTTATAGCAAATTTAAAGTATTTTTTTCTTGGAGAAGGTTTTGCTGTAGGGTGTGTGCACTTGCCAGAAAGACAGCAAGAAGTCACCCTGGGGGGCAGGTGGTGGCCACACCACAATCCCTTTTCCATTCTCAGGATCTTGGGCACGCACCCACATGCCCGGCATTAGTTTAAGCCACTGGTCTCAAACCTACAGGGGAGTCCAGCAACATAGCCATTAACCCATCTGCTGGTCCCACAAATAGAAAAAAAAAATTTTGAGAGGTGTTTGCTATAGGGCGCTTGTGCTTGCCAGACAGAAAGCGAGAAATCACCCCTCAGGGGGGATGGTCACACCGCAATCCCTTCTCCATTCAACTCTCGGGATCTTGGGGCAAGCACGCACACATCCCTGGCATGAGTTTTAAGCCACCGGGTACAGGACACAAACCATGGTCCACTATGTGGGAGTCCAGCGATACAGCCATTACATTAACTGCTGGTTCCCAAATAGAAAAATTTTTAAAAGCCACAAAAAGGTCAGAGCACGACTTAAAACTGCAAGCAGGTGCTGAAC